CCCCAAAACCCCAAAACCCCAAAACCCCTTTTTGTTGGAAGAGATTGAAAATTTACTTAAACATATTTCAAAGGCTTCTCTCTAACTATTGCTTGCATCTTGGAGATGCTCATATTGAATTTCCTCCCATTCTGGAATAGTCTAGAGGAGAGAACCTTCTGAGATAAGAGACCTGGCTCCTGAAAAGAAGAATCAGAGCTCATGAAGCTATTTAAAGAGGTCAACCTCAATCTTCTTTGGTCCCTAGATTTATAATCTGACCTTTGAATCACAGATATAGACTTTTCTATTAGCCTTGATTTGGATTTTGATGCAGAAGCCTCTGAGTCTCTGGAAGAATTTAACGACTTCATCTTCCTCGCAAGATTGTACTTGTGAGTTTCTCAGTAGAAACTCTGACCAAGTTCTTGGTCGTATTTGACAAGCTTAACCTTATTTTAACAATGAACTTCCACTTTGCTTCCGAGGACTCTTGTTTCAAGGAGATCATGGTTGAGAACGCAAAATCTTTCGTAGATTCTCATGTATTTTATTTGTTATAAGACTTTAAGCTAGTAAAGTTGACTTTCTGAGGATATTTCATGGCACTCTTGGAATATCGATTATTTATAGATAAATAAGCACTATGACCAGACTCTTGTCTTGCAATGCTACTTTTATGAGAGATTATCTTTTTAATCTTTCTTATATTTTTGAAACCCTACTAGCTTCTCTCAGCTTTGATTGAAGCTTCTTTTTAGTATCCTCACTTCCCCCAAATTTATTTTCAAGCAGGTGAGTTAAGATTAAACTTCCCTAGAAATCTCCCACTAGGAAGTTGCAAACAAGGTTCAGGTTTGACATTCATTTTACATACAGGTATTAAAAAATCATGAATCTCCTTCTCTGTTATCCCCTCATTAGGCTTATATCTTTCTCTATTCTGGCAAAGACTTGTCTTCGGAGCTTTCTTCACCAATTTGGGCTAAAACAGCTTATCTCGACTCTAAAGAACCTAATAATACCCCACGCTTGACTATATCTGAAATATGCCTAACTATTCTCCCCTAAATACCTTCCTAAAGATGTCTAAAATAAAAATCCGAAAAGGAGGTTTAGAGCACCAACAAAGAAATGGGTAATTCAGGCATAACTTACCATGATCGGTTATGAAGATTTTGGGTAATAGTCAATACAAAACTCGTTTTTCTTCTGCCTTCCTATAGCTCTTGGGCAGTAATCGTCCTCTCTCATCCTAGATTGGTAATGGGGAGATAAGGTACCATTTTTGGAACAGGAATACGTTGTTGTCATTGAAGATTTTGGTCATGGTTGATGGGAATAAATTTATTTTCAATTAAAATTAGATTTGTAGGGGTTTTGGGGTTTTGGGGTTTTGGGGTTTTGGGG